CAAAGGTCATCGCAAGGTAGCCTACGGTTCGACTACTGACTGGATTCTGCGCTCAGGCTCGACCGAGCCATCATTCGAGCCTTTCCAGAGCTGACTCTTGGGCGCATCATCTCTAGGATAACAATGCACCAGTTGCAATCAAGAGCGTCATCAGAAGCAAGTTGACCACGAAATTGCTTGAGAATCTTGAATCCGAGATTTCGATCTTGAAGCGAATTCAGCATCGCAACATTGTTGAACTGATCGATTGTCTCGTGAGTATCACTTTTCAGACGAAGACGCTCGGCTGTTACGCTGTGTCAATGCTGATGCTGTCTCTGCGGTCAGAAAACCGACACACACATCTACCTCATCATGGCTTTCTGCTCGGCGGGCGACCTGTCAATCTATATCCGCAAACGGGGTGACCTCGTTGCGTTGACCGCATCGAACCAAGGCTTGCTGCCTGATGCTGAAACGAGCAGAGCCCCTTTGTCAGAGTCGGCGAGAGGCAGAGTTATGTATCCACACCCTAAAGAAGGTGGTCTGAATGAAACGATCGTACGATGTTTCTTGGGGCAGCTCGGTGCGTGTACTAGCTTCTGAAAGTTTCACTCGTCCAACTGAAGCCTTGCATATTGTGCAGTTGATGCCTTGCGATTCTTGCGCGCGCAAAATGTGATCCATCGAGACATCAAGCCGCAAGTATGTCATTGTGTTGACTGTCGAGTTTCGGCGGGCGCTGACAAGTTTTGATATTCTGTAGAATCTGCTGCTCAAGCCAGCGGATGCGTCAGATCTGGCTGCAGGGCATCCGCCGGGGATACCCGTCCTCAAGGTTGCAGATTTTGGATTCGCAAGGTGGCTGCCACAGCAGAGCTTGGCAGAAACCCTTTGCGGTTCACCGTGAGCCACCTTCGGCACTGTTCGAAAGCTTCTTGACGCTGACTCATGTGGCATTCCCGTGTCATTCAGACTATACATGGCGCCAGAAATTCTGCGTTACGAAAAGTACGATGCCAAAGCCGATCTGTGGTCTGTCGGCGCCGTCTTGTTTGAGATGAGTGTTGGTCGTGCACCATTTCGAGCTCAGAATCATGTTGATCTGTTGCGCAAGATTGAGAGAGGCGAAGACAAGATCAAGTTTCCAGACGAAAAGAAGCTTGAAGAGGGCAGTGACAAGCAACCGACAAAAGTTGCAGCCGATATCAAAGCTTTGATCAGAAGATTACTCAAGAGGCATCCAGCAGAACGAATGAGCTTTGAAGATTTTTTCAGAGAGGCAGATGCTGTTGCGACCGGTGGCAGTGCGCAAAAGTTGCCGTCCGCCGAGTCGATCGCTGGTCGTCATGCTTCAGTGTTGAAGTCGTTCTCGTCGGCCGAGGTGAATTCAACGTCTTCAGCTGCTTCACGGGTGCCGCTAGCGACACCGACAGACCAAGCTGTGCGAAGGGATATCACAGCCGCCTCGGCCAAAACATTGCCTGCCGCGCCTTCTGTCGATCAAGAACCCCTGCCTTTCGCGAGGAGGCAGAGTAGTACCGGCTCTGTACCTCAATCTGGATCACGCACGCCAAGTTTCAAACCAAAGTATGTCGTTGTTGGCGGGGAAGGACAAGAACAGGCAGCGCCACAGCCAACTCGGCGGTCCAGGTGAGCCCTTGACCACTCTCTGTTTTTCTGATGTTCTGAGGCTGATGGGAGCCGATCTCTGTGCAGCAGTGAAACGCCATCGCCAGTGCCTGGGAGCACGCCACCGTCAGCGATTGCTCGTTTTGTAAATGCCAACAAAGCGCCGTTCGAGTCATTGTCGGAGTCACAAGATTCTGTCGGCAAAGATTATGTGGTCGTAGAAAAGCGTACGGTCGAGATCAACGCGCTTGCTGACGAGCTCGCGAGCATGCCCAAGCGTGAAGGCGTGGTTGCTAGACGGCCATCAAGAGGCTTCCTGGCACGCCCGCCGAGCAGCTTTGGGAATTCAGGCAACACTGGTGGAGCAGTGTCGACATCTCCGACAAGCTTACCGTATCCACCTACGGCTGCGACAGTGGCACCAACGTCAGTCACGGTCGATCAGTCGTCCCCCCCGTTCGCAATTACAGGTCAGCAACGGCCATCGCCGGTACATCATCCGTACTCGATGTCATCGTCGCCTCGCATGGTCTCGTACTTATCAAGCTCGCCCCGAAGCTACAACCACGTCATCGAGCGCTTCCCGGGCTCTCCTCTCGCGCTCGTTGGCAACCCGTCTGCGGCTATCGCGAAAGCGCTCAACATGGCGTCGCTGAAGATTTTTGGCAGCCCAACGGATGGCATCCTCGTTCGTCGCAGCTCGGCACGCAAACCTCTCAGTCGCACCGCTCAAGCCGCCGATCCAGAAGAAGACCAGCTTTTATCAAAGCTCGAAGACGTAGCTCAGAAAGCTCTGGTTCTGTTTGACTTCGCCGACAGTAAGCTTGTACAGTTGTTGCCGCCCACGCCTCAGAGCTTGCCGACAACGACACTTGGCACACCGTCGTACTTTACGCACATGGCGGCGCGAGAACAAGTCATTTCAAGTCCATTCAGCGCCGTACCCAACTCGCACTCGCCGTCAATGAGACGAACTTCGTCAAGCTCGTCCGATCGACCACACATGTCGGCTGGCAGCGTCAAGAATGATGTTGTGGCAGCGGAAGCAGTCATGCTGTACCTCAAGGCATTGGCCTTCCTACACAAAGGTATTGAGCAAGCCCGTTCGCATTGGACGAGCCGCGGCTCTGCTCAGGCGCCGAGTGGCGACTTCAATGAGGGTGGGCAGCTCCGTTCCAAATCACAATTGCACAGCAGAGCTGAGCTGATGTTTCTACTATGCAGCGGTGCAATGGTTCCGACAACGCTTCAACGAATGTTTTGACAAAGCCGACTTTGCAAAGTCGCGCTGTCAAGACGAGATCCCAGAGTCGGCTGTCCACGCTGACAAGCTCGTGTACGACCGGGCCCTGGAGCTTGTGAGTGGTCATACTGTGTGGCTCACATCCAAACGCTGCGCTGACTGTGTCTGCGTTCAGTCTCGTGCGGCGGCAGTCAACGAGCTACGTGGCGAGAACCCCACTGATTGCGAAACAGCTTACGAGACAGCGCTGTGGATGCTGTACGCCATTCTCGACGAGTCCGTTTCAACAACACCTGGCGACGGGGCGTTCCTCGTCGAGGAAGAGGACAGAGCCACGATCACCAAATTTGTATCATCGATCACGGGCAGGTTGCAAGCTTTGCGCAAAAAGCTTGAGCCTGCGTCGTCAGTGTAGATTTTTCTCTGCAGTCTAGCCTCTTCTGTGTCGAATCCGTGACTTGTTGTGATTATAATCTACCGTTGTGATGATACACTCATTCGTTGAAAGCCAAACACATTTCCCAAGACGAACGAGGGCAGTGCTCATCACGCTCGCGCGGAACACCGGCGCTTTGATACGCTCGTGCCTTGAGCGCTTGCTTTTGGACCATAATTGCATGCTGCATTTCCACGCAAATTGAATTTCACACTGTGCAAACAGTCGGCAAGTTATTGTCGAGTTTGAGAGCTACGTATGGCCACAGTCGGCAGACGTCAAACTATTCCAGAGCCATTCTAGCTTGCTCAAGGACGCCCACTTGAACAGGCGAGTCGGTCCTATCTGTCTGAAGTGTGACAGAGAAAAGGCCCTGACCGCGTTGCTGTATCCACGATCGCTCATCCTCTGTCGCGGGCTCCTTGACAAACACTTTGATTTTGCTCGAGCCGTTCGGTGAGCCAAGTTCGAACTGATGGCTTTGACCCTTGGGTGATGCACCCAGAATTGGTTTCAACACCTCGAGATATGATGTGAGACCGTTGGTGTTTGAGAGTAGAGTCAGACTAGACACGCCTGCAGCTCTGTTGGAGTGTACTTGTTGCGATCGTGGAACCTGAGAGTGTCGAGTGTCAATGGTTTGGCTCGGCAAGAACCAGTGTCAGTGAACTGACCCTCCAGGTCCGGTCTGTGATATCTTCGCACCAAAAAGGTCTCACGCTGCGTTCACCCTTGTCACCTCCGACAACTGGAAACGCCACGCGCCACTTGATCATTTGACGTTGCTTGTTGAGCCTGCCGCCTTCTGCGGCGTTTTGGTACACAGACTCGCGCGCTACAATATTGATCGCATTGACCCGTTCTTGAGCCGACAAGGGTGTAGGTGCAAGACACCAGTCGATCCACCCCTCTCGTTTGCGGCCCCACCAGTGATTCGATCGGTCTTGGGCTGAAGTATCAGCGCAGAAAGCGATCACTTCAATGTCTGGCACCTCGTAGATGTAGTCAGAGTAATTCAAATAGTATGAGGGAATACGTGCACTCACATACGCCATCATCCAGAGTGATGAGGACATTCTCGGTAAGACCGTCGGCATGCTTGCCCCCGGGTTGCAGACTGAAGCCAGCGTTCTCCAGGAAAGCCAGATGGCCGACATCAATCGATGATACGAGCAAAATGAGGTGGTCCAGCTGTGGCTGGGCTGAAGCCATGGCGGTCAAGGTCAAACCGGCGCTCGCCGACGTGCCTTGACTCGAAGTTGTGCGCACGTGACAGCAGCCTCCGGACATGACTCTTTGGACCTGATAGGTAGGTAGCTCACAAATTTTGCGCTCGAACAGGACTGGACATCAGACAATATTCTCGCTGTACCCTGTTGCGAGACGCCGACGCTCCATAAGCCACAACGTACTCTCTTTATGATGACTGCGCGTGGCCCACGACTGTGAGGCCCGTCGGTACTCTTCCAAATGCAATGTCAGCTGGGGTAGATGCGTCGCGTGGGACTCAGACTGATTGACCAGACTGGCGACGTGCGGCTTTCCGGAACTTCGGCCCTAACTCCCTCAAAATGACCCCAAACCTGCCCAAAATTTGTCAAAAAGATGGAAAAGGGATCCAAAACAGTCTGGCGTACTCAAAAATTTTTTGCTGCAATTTTGTGTTTTTAACATTATAGTGTGTGCATTAGCACCTATGTCAACTGCAACGTCCGGTTGATCTAGTCGGTTATGATGCAGACCTAATACGATTCTTCTCGATCCAGTGTTTAGTCTGATGTCGGCGGTTCGATCCCGCCACTGGACAATTTCTTTTTGCATTTCTTTTGCTGCCATTGCGCGCCAGATGCACCCTTAGCCTAGCTCCCGCACAGTTCGAAGCGCGCGCGGTCATCCTTTGCGAAGAATGCTCTCTCTCATCAGATTGACTTCGAGCGGATATGGTCTGGTCTCGTAAACAACGGGCGATACGAGTGCCAGTAACCCAGCCGTCAAATTTCCGACGAGGGTAACAAAGCAACGAAGAGCAGTCGCAGTCAAGCTTGAGAAGCTGATGGATACCAGCGACAAACCTGAACGATCATGTGAGCTCTCAGATCGCTTGACGTGAAAGTGGGACCTCGTCCCCGAAGGACCACGACTGCAAGACAGAACGTATTAGCATGCTCTTGTGTTCCAAACTATGCACACTGGTAGAAAGCGTGGCCAGTGATAAACTATTCTGGAAACGCCCCTCTGTTCCACATCCGCGAAGCGGCGAAACCTACTCAAAAGAAGTCGGTCCGTTCTTCACGAGCTCACTGGCCGGTCAGCCCGAGGCGAGAAGGAAATAGCTCCGAACAAGCGGAACAAGAACAGTGCTTGAAGCGAGTTGGTGATCCGGATGGAAAAAGCAGCAACTGATCACGAGGAGGACACAACTGAGCAGTTGCCAAGAGGTTCATCTCGTTGTTCAGATCATTTGCTTAGTGTTACTTCTCGACCGAGAGCCCCCTGCAGAGCAACAAGGGCGCAGCTATATCACCATAGAGTAATCTGCGAGACTTGATGGCATGCTTTCTGGAACTATAGAAGGAGGCAGGCAAAACTCTGCCACAAGGTCATGACTGCCGAGGCGAATCACGATGGTACAGTCACTCACCTGCTGGCGGTGCAACAAGTTGAACAGCAAGCCTAAGAAGAAATCACGCGATTGTTCGTGGTACTCTACTGAAGTTCTGCCTCGTTTGCTGTGTTTTTGGCATCCACACAGCTCGCAGCTACATTTCATGCAATCCGCCGGGAAACGCGACGCCTTTGCATGTTATCGCGCCTCGACAGCTTCGACATCCACGAGACGCGGAGTCTTGTCGACGGCCTTTCAATGGGCACGACAGCAACGGGTTGACGCCAGTAACTCAAACGTCTTTTGTGGGAACAAGCTCGGCTCTTTCATCATAAGACCTTCTCTCTTTCGCGTAGCCTGCTGCAATATCACAGGGCACACGACGATACTTAGTCTCTGGCTGATCTTCGAAAGCCGTTTGTGCACATTGCGACCTCGGAGTGAGATCGAATCCGTGTTGAAACAATCGTCTGTCGTGTCTGCAATCGTGAAGGCAGACAGGCGATACTGGTTCGATACTGTTCCACTTGCTGTTCTGAGTGGAATGCAATTTATAGACGAGTCCATATGATCAGCTAGACCAATCTGCTCTCGGGAAGTCAGGCAAGTCTTTCTTGACTCCGGAGTGCATCTTCACCGCGATTGACGCCGATCAACAGCAAGTGAGACACAATGCACGATCTGTTGCTCTTGTATGTCTTCTTTTTTTTTTTTGTATCAAACCCAAAGCTCTTTTTTTTTTTTGTATCAAACGCAAAGCTTTACAAAAATTGACTAGTTGAAACTACGAAAATCTTTGAAAAGGAGAACTTTGACAAACTCCCCGGACCCGATGAAACTCTTGTCAACTCTGTTGAACATTTCCTCTTGAGCAACCGAAG